ATGGCTTAGCTAGTTTAAAAAAAAAAAAGAAGAAGAAGAGAATGGTGAGATGAAACCAATGAAGAAAGTCCTATTTATTCAGCTAATTTAAAGCAATCAGAGATAGCATCCTCAGTTTCACCTTGCTTTATTGGGTGCAATTACATGTATGATTAATTTTTGCTTATTCTGCTGGACATCAATAAAAGCAAAATCCTGAACATGTGCATTTGCCCTTGTATACATCAAGCTTCTAAGTTGTGCTGCCCTATTCTGGTCATAAAATGAGAGTCTTGTAGGTTGTCACCTTACTGGCACGCTCAGTTCAGCGGGTGCTTGTCTGATATTTAAAGGTTAGTGATGCAGATAAAGGAATGAGATGAATTCATTGTAAGTATTTGATAAAGAGCTGATAGATCCTTTCATTAATTTTTCCCTCAAATCATTCACTGTTATTAACCTTATAAGAATTTCTCCTAAATAATCATGTACACTTTCTTGCCCATCTGTCCCTACCTAAAGTATCTGAGCAACTCTGACATGTTACCATTTTGCCAATCCCAGCAATATTGCTGTAAAGGGTTTATTAAGCACCCCCTTTCTATTTGGAAACTTGCTAGTCTTTTACATGCAGAAAAACAGTATGAATTTCCTTGAGGCTGTATGAATTAAAGTGATTTGGTATTATAAGATGAGAGATCTAGTATATTTCTAGTATATGCTATTTTAAGTAGGAAAAGAAATGATGATCCATTCTTATTCTTTGCTATTTTCATGTGCAGACCGTTTATACTGAGGCTTCCATTACACTTGTTGTTATCTCTAGACTTTCATCTTATCCTTCATACGATGTGCTTAGATACTACACTATGCCTTGGAAGTGTAGGTGATTTTATCTTATATAACATATATACCTCTGTTGGAGGGCAGAAAAAGCTGAGGATACAATGCCTTGATTTTATTGGTTACAAACACAATCCATTTGGGGGGAAATTCACTCTGATTCACTCTAATGGTATAAATTAATTATCTGTCAGAGGAAGATGTGACTGTTCACCCCCTGTTTTTTATCCATTTTAAGGTTGGGGCTTTGCATTCTCTCCCATCCATCAGCCACAGGCATTGGCTGTAGTGCTATGTAACTATAATCTCATTTTTGAATAGATTTTAGAATCTGTCTAAGATCACATAGGCTTGTGGCTGGGCCTGGCACAAGCCCAACATAACTGTGGCTATGTGAAAAGATCTTTGCTTGCAAAGCCTCTAATGTAGCTGCTGACCCGTGAAGCATCTTTAGTGCTGCCGCTTTAGACTCTTAACACTGCTGTATCTGTTCCTGAGCTCATGCATGTTCCTACTCGAAACTGGCCAAATCAAAGGCAAGGTCCCACTTGCTTAACACTAAGCCATGTTACTTTCTTGGCTTTCTGCTAAAGACATTTTCTCCTTCCTTTCTGTGAGGATATTTGGGAACGAAGCACATTTACAGAGGAACTGGCTACTGGGAAGCTGATCTGCTTTCCTTATTATACCAAAGCTGACAGCTATCTGATAGGTGCCATGTATCTTGAAGAGCAGTGGAAAGCAGGAAGGAGCCTTGGGAGTAGCTTACAGGCATGAGATTGCAATCCTGGAGACCCTTCAGGAAGTACCATGAACCATGGTGTAATTGCACAGAGCACCAGAATGTACATACACACATGTACAGGTGGACAGTAATACGAGCTTTCAGCCTGTTTCTCATGAATTCTGAGCTCAGTGGGATCAGTTTATGGAGTTGCAGATAGCCTCTTTTTATTCCTCTCTTCTCCTTAGCTCCTTTCATTTTGAGCATGTTAGCAGAAAGAAGGATTCAGACTTTGCAAACACAGTAAAGCCAAATTATGAACTCTTAAGTAGAAAGCAAAAAATGGAAATGCAATTCTTACAACACACATATTATGCTGCCTTATCTGTACTTTGATAAAAAGCCTCTCTCTGTTTCTTCTGAAAGCACAGGACATAGAACCACAGTAGGCTTAATACAGTGTGTTTGAGGTATCTCCCTTCCCATCCCCAGGATTTTTATCACTGTTTTAAGTTGATAGTCTGAAGGTTGTTGAAAACTAGTGTGTCCCCAGAGTCGGATTACAAAAGCTCTTCTTTGAGACGGGTACAAACATATTTTAGTTAATTCTAAGTGACTTCCATTTGGTTAAAATCTAGTCAGTAACTTTGGTGGAGTTGCTGATGTTTACAGTTGCTGAGGGCCAAGGTGATGCCATAGCTTACAGTGTACTGTCCATGAGCTGGGCTGTTGGCTGCTTTCAACCTGAGCAGTTGGTTTATGTTTGAAGAGCAGCACCTCAAAGTGCTCTTCTTCAAAGAAAAAGGGCTAGAAAGTGACTTTTCAAAAACAAACAAAAGTCAAGTCTGACTCAGGCTCTTTAGACTGGGGAAAGGCCATGGCCCTTTGGCCAATTCCACTTAAGTCCCATTCATTCTATGCTGTGAAGAAAGGCTAATGATAACCTATATTGTTGTATACCTGAATTAGAGTTTAATTATTAATACTACATAGCTTGATTGGGGGCTATACAGTAACTGTCCTTCAAGGGACAATATTTCCAATTTTATCCTGAGGTGATAATGTAATTTGAGATATATTTCTAGCACACTTTCATTATTGGCCTTTTTCTATAAACTTGATTGCTTCTAATTAGAAAATATTGGTTTAAATCTACTCCACACAATCTTTTCAAGCAAGAAGATTAAACACTAAATCTTCTCATCTGTCAATTTCTATAATATTTCTTCCCTCTTCCGTGTCATGCTTTTCCCTAGTCACACATACTGGATTATTACAATATTTCATAACACTTTCTGATTCTGTTTTCTGAAATGTAATAAAAGGTTTGTTAGAGGCCATACATAAAAAAATGTAACAATACCACGAGCAAGGAGCAGATGCTAAATACTGGTGCTCTGCAGGTGCATGTTCCAAAGAGAAGGTCATGGGCTCAAAACTCATGGGTTACAAAGTTTAATCCAACACACTCGTAATTTCATGTGGTTGGAAATAAGCTTCAGGATATAAGCAGGCTGAAGTTTGAAGACATTGGAGTTACATGTACTTGTCTGAATTGCCTTGCTTTGAGATTAGAACATACATTCTTTCTTTAAGTGTGTTATGCCACTGGATATGTATTAGTCATTTATATTTCATCAAAGCTTGTCAGACAGATCTTTGTCCAAAACACGCTAACCAAATACTACAAATAATAGCTATCTCTACAGAAGAGACATAGGAACATTGCTGCCTGCTTTCTGCTCTTCCTGTCTGCCCATGTGTCTTGGTAAAGGGGCTGGTCAAGGGAGCCCAGCCCCTACTTCTCTCTAACAGCAGGAACTGCATGCGTAACAAGCAGCAGCCTGAAAAGTTATGTTCATGCCTTGACCTTGAGACTTCCTGAACCAGTTTGCATTGGCTCTCCCTTTGAAACAACAGGCTTCCACAGGAAGTTCATAAATGGGCCCAAGTCATAGCAATTTACGTAGTTTTAGTATTTTTAACTTGGTTCTTCGAGAATGACCCAAAATGGGCGGTGTTTCATGGGTGCAAAGAACTGGCCAATTTTTCCAAGAGCAAACGTCAGTATGTTGGGCACAACATGAGCTGTTGAAAGGAATGTGACTTAAGACAAGCACTGCTGCAGATATGTGCGTGTTGCGAAGCTACGTTGTACTCCACTGGGTGCCAGCATCAGTAAGTGCTCAGGTTCCCAACATCACAGGCAGTCCAACATCTGCAGAGAGCTACACCACAGGCGTGTTTGGATCAGCAGCTTAAGCATTGGCATAACATCTTTCACCACACTGCTCCCAATTCCTGCTTCTCTCAGAAAGGCAGAGCACTGTGTGTGTCTCTTAT